AATAGAGCAAGACGCTGTCTCAAAAAAATTAAAACAACAACAAAAAAATAGACACATGGTAATAGAATTATAGAACAAAGTGAAAAAGAAAATATTAAAACAAGGGAAAAAATAGATTTTAAAATTAGACTGAAAACACACTTTGCAATAATATAACAAAAGCAGAAAAGACAAGGGAACTGTACCTCTCTTCTCAATTTTAGTATCTATTAAGACAGAACCGTATAGTCACATGGCTCCCCTTGGGTCTCTTCTCAGAAGTATCACTTTAACAGAGTCCTTCCAAGGCCACCCCGTGTACAATACTAATAGCAATATCCCACCACTTACTCCAATCCTATCTACTCTTCTTCATTACTCTCCACAGCACTTATCATCACCATCTGATACACTACATATAATTTATGTGTTTATTATTTTGCTCCCTACACCAGAACACAAACACAAAAAGAGATAAAACTCTGTTTTGTTGATTACTATACCCACAGAATCTAGAACAGTGCCTGTTGCAGAGGAAGCATTTGACAAATGTGTGCATTTATTTATCTATTACTCAATTTGGAAGTTTAAAATATAACTTGGGATCAACTAGACAACAATTACACACAAAACAAAAAGGGAGATGAGTTAAGTTAAAGCATTCTAAGATCCTTATATTCTTCAGGAGGAGGATAAATCAACTGATTTTTTTTTTTTCTGGAGACAGAGTCTTACTCTGTTACCCAGGCTACAGTGCAGTAGCATGATCACAGTTCCCTGTAGCCTCAACCTCCTGGGCTCCAGCAATCGTCCCTCCTCAACCTCTCAAGTAGCTGAGACTTATTTTTCTGCAGAGTTTAGCTCTGACTTTGTTTCCCAGGCTGGGCTCAAGCAATCCTCCTGCCTCAGCCTCCCAAAGTGATGCCGGGCCTGAAATCGATTAATTTTAAGCTCTGATATATATATATATATGGGCCTACTTGGAGTTACCCTTAAAGTTTATATATATTTATATATACTATACTTTGAAAGAGAGAGAGAGAGAGTGTGTGTGTGGGAGTCTACTTTGGAGTTACCCTTAAAGTTTAAATATATATATTATATTGTTTATCATTTTGCTCCTGAAACCAGAGAACAAACACAAAAAAGAGACAAAACTCAGTTTTAATATATTTTTATAAAATATATATGTGTTTATATATATATATATATATATATACATATATATATATATCATATACACATTTAAACTTCAAGGATAACTCCAAAGTCAATAGAAATGGAAGGTATAAATGTCAAACTAGTCGAGGGAAAAAGAGAGATGATGTAATTTAATCTAAAATAAGGGAAAAAAACCTAAAAGCAAATGAAAAGTACAATCATAGTATAAGTAGCAAAACAAAGATGAAAGACCTAACTCCAAATATATGTTATCACAATAAATGTAAATATATCAAACTTAACAGTTAAAATAAAAAGACTCTAAGATTGAATAAAAATAACAAAACCCAAATACTTACTATATGCAAAATAAGCAGCTGAAGCATAATGACATTAAAAGGTTGAAAGAAAGGAACAAAAAACGACTGTGCTGATTATTAAACTAGTTCTCTCAGGTTCAAATCCATTCTTCTATACTCTACACTTTGGTATATGGGAGTTGGAACTACACAAATGCATGTAATTTACCAGCTGGCTCCCTTTCAGGCACTAATAGGAGGTGCTAAAAAGACAAGGCTGGAGGAAGAAGAGTCTTACTCCCTCCTGTTTACTTCTAGTTTCTGATAGTGTAGTACCGGCCAGGGTTCACCCTGCAGTGGCAACTGTTTCCAGAGTACTGTTCCCCTGTCACACATACACACATACAATCCCCAAATTAGCCTCATCGTTTCCTTTACAGATATCAAGAATTTGGCTAAGTGTCTCCTCCTCAGAGTCTGAGTCCCAGCTATGACACGGTTTTCTTAAGGTGCCAGTAATACCTGGGCAGCACGGGTACTAGTTCTACAAAGCCCAAGCTAACTGCATTTTAATGATCTCAACCTCTTGCCATTGGTCTTATAGCCCCCACAGGTGGCAGCTGTTCCCTGTTTCCGATAGTTATGACTCTGGTGCTATCACAATGCTCTCTTTTTGCCTTTTTCTTTCCCCATTACTTAGATAACAATTCTAAACATTAAATCCTCTAGTTAAAATAAGTGGTATAGTCCTGGTTCCTGATTGAACCCCAACTGATAACAATGACATACAAGGGAATTATTAGCCATAATAGAGTTGTCTGTTAATGAATGGGAGTATTGCACAGATGCTAATTCTCCCCCAAATTTATCTGTAAATTAAATGCAATCCTCATCAAAATTTCCACTCAGTTTTCCAGAACTTGAAAGAACAAAAAGCTGAGAACTAAGATAATTTCCACAGAGAAACGATCAGATACCAAAATTCAGATACAGACATCAAGCTTCTCATAAAAAAAAATTAAAGTTAAGACAGTTTAGTATTGACATAAGGATAAAGAAAAAAGCCAATGTTAAAGAATAAACTATAATATGACTAATATATGACTAATGTGGCATATAAAAATAGCAGGGAAATAAATGGTACTAGGATCAATTAATCGTGGCCTATTTTCACCCTACATTAAAAAATCAATTCCATTTGAATTAAAGACTAAATACAAAAGCAAAACTTTAAAACCTTCAGAATAAAATACAAGAAAATACCTTCATGACCCAGGAGTAGAGCTTTCTTAAACAACATACAAAAAGCACAATCTGTTATATAAAGGCGTGTGACTTAACAACCATGTCAAACCTAAGCAGTACCACTTAACCATGCTAAAGGGCCAGAAGAATGGGTACAGGCCTAACTATGAAAACTCATCAAAACTGTGCTAATCACTAAACCTTAAAACACACACACACACACACACACACACACACACACACACACACACACAATTTACAAAGTTGTTATGGTTGCCTGATGCTTCTAGTTCATTGCATTTTCCCCTACTGACACATTTAACACCTTGCTTCAAATAAAAGATAAGTAAAAGAAAACATGGTGAGAAAGGATGCACATTTTATGCAAAAATTAAATAACAATTCATAATCCCAAAAGAAGAAAGAGGACTTGGGGTTTCTTTCAAGTCCCAGTATAATGCTGAAAACTACTATGGTTAGTATCTTAAGCTGTTCAGGCTGCTATAACAAAATACCAAAAACCAGGTAGCTTATATAAAATAGAAATGTATTTCTCACAATTCTAGAGACTGGAAAAGTACAAGATCTAGAAGTCAGCAGATTCAGTGTCCGCTGAAAGCACACTTTCTGGCTCACAGATGACACCTTCATGACCTCAGTGCTCTCACACAGTGGAAGGGGCAAGGAGTTCTCTCTCTGGGGTCTATTTTATGAGGGTGCTATTTCCATTCATGGGAGCTCAACCCTCATGACCTAATCACCTCCCAAAGTCCTCATCTTCTAGTACCATCGTATTAGTGATTAGGTTTCAACATATGAATTTTAGGAAGGCACAAATGTTCAGACAGTAGCAGTTAGACACTGTTTTTTTTCACAGTCAATCTAAGAGATTATCAATCGTAAACTCACCACACTGAAATCAAGGTTGTCTTCAATCCATCTTTGCCCATCTAGAAATTCAGCATGAAGTCCCATGATATAAAGGGTATCCAAAGCATCGACTATAGTAGCACCCATTTGTGAACTTCCTATATTTGGAAGAAAAAAAAATTATCATTAAAAAGATCCCTTTAGGCTCCTGTTCTCCTGGGTAGGGTGTGGCGAAAGATTCCCTTCATATTCGGTGTATTTTAATTTTTTATATATAAAAGTAAAGTAATAATATAAGGACTAAAAAGAATATCCAATTTTGTTCACTTTTACATTAGATATCATGTATATTAGGTAATAACATAGTTTAATATATTTTAATAAAAATAGTACTTTGATAATACAACAAAAAAAGAAAACTTAAGGCATATTTTTTCTTAATTTTCAGCCCAGTCAGAATATGAGATGTCTATCTACTTAACCGAGAAAGGAAAAAACAAGAAGTGTAACTGAAGAAAAGGGGAGAGTAGTTCAAGATGACAAGCTGAGTAACAAGACAAGCATGTCCTTCTGGTCTGGACCAAATTCATAGAAAGAATAAAAATATATTTTAAAATAATGAATGTATAACAGGGCTAATCACAGTGGAAAAGAAACTTAATCCTTAACAATCAAAAAGCAGGTAGATCATACAGAAAATGGAAACTACCAAACAAAATATGAGTAGAGAGAATCAAAATAAACTGTAACCACTTTTTAAAAAGAGATAATTCTGATCATTAAAAAAAAAAAAAATTCCAAGGGGAAAAAACAAGAGAGAAAGGGAGGAAGAAAGGGAAGAATTAATTCAAAACCAGCCTAGCTGATAACAAAACTAGATAATGAATACACAAGAGAAGAAAACAGGCCCATCTTACTAATGAATACAACTGTACAAATCCTAAATAAAATAGCAGCAAAACTAGGTTTGTTTTGCTACTAGTAGAGTAAAAAATCTAGCAGTATAGCAAAAAAAATAGGGAGCAGGGAGCAGATGGGTTCTCCCCAATTCCATAAATGCAATTATTTCTGTCCTCTGAAAATGCAAATGATCCACACAGCTTGCTGCCTGCATTAACATGGCTTTTACTATTACATTGTCTTCCATAACCTGAATTTACTGTTCCAGGAGCTCTTGTCCAGAAAGATAAAAGTTGCAAAAAAAAAAAAAATTTATTGTTCATTCCAGGAACTTCCTCAAAGACCCATCAACTCTTTAACAGAAAGTATCAAATGATAATTTATACCCCAAAACTCTGAAAGGCTATGACTCCAGTGAGGTAGTGATCTTCTTATCGGAGTAATAATTAACAGCTTTGTCTTATCAACAGGTTTTCTTGATGATTTTTAAGAGCCAGTATTCAACATTACTTAGTTCATATTTTCCATTTACTATTCTTTTCTTTCTTTTTCCATCCCTCTTTCTACTGGGCAGAAATTGTTTTCTTCCAATGGTTTGAAGCTATACACAATTTGTCCTTATGATGGTTGTCCTTAATTCACATGCCATTTTCTTGTTCATGTGTTCCTAACAATTTCTTCAACTTATCAATACATCTGTCTTCTCTTAGCTGACAAGTACTCCAACACACTCTGATAAATTCCTTGGTCTTCTCCCTACTCAGTTTCCTTTATATTGATATTATCTAGAAAGTTAGTTATGTGTTATTCCGTTCCTCAGCTTTTTATTAAGATACCTTTATCAAGCCATTTAATCACTCATATATCTCTATCTCTTGCATAACTGCTTGAACATGTATCTCTTTTAATTTTAGCATTTCATCCAAAACATTTACTAAACTTATTTTAAACCAAGACTACTGTTTGTGTCCTTATTTCAATTTTTTTGTAGGTAGTTCTCTGCTCCTCCAGTTATCTAGTTATTTATTTAGTCCTCTATGTATATACTTCTGTCAGGTATAGACTACTATAGAATGGAAAAAGGCCTGACCCACCTATTCTGTACCAGTCTTGCTTAGTTCCACAAGGTGCCATGAGCTAAAGAGCTCAAGGAAGAAAAGTGTAAAATTGAAATTACTGGCCATCATTATGATTGTTTACCTGGACAAGTCAAGATTTCAACAGAAAAAAATTAAAAAGCCTGACACCATTCTTGGGTCAAAGCAGCAGCAAAACATGACACTACAGAAAATATAAAATATCATAAAAATTTAGCATGAGAGTATGGGAATCAACTAAAGCAGTTCTCACAGAGAAACTTAAAATATTTATACTAGTTAACAAGAACAAATGAAAATAACTGAATTTAACATTCTAAGGAAGAAAAAAAAATTGGGCAAAATAACAGAAGAATGAGAAAATCTAAAGGCAGAAATGGATGAATTAGAAATGAAGAAAATTATTGAAATAACAAATTCAAGAAATGGTTCCATGAAGAACCCTACAGTGAATCTACCATTTACCTAGTTTTTAAAAGGTAGACAAGACAAAAACAGAAAATAATAAAAACGCAACAACAGACAAGCACAGAGAAGTTTTTTTAATTATAAAAGGCCCATTTCATTCACATATTCACAATAAATTTGATCTTTCTCAAGAAATACCACTCTGGACTTAAAAGAAGAAACAGAAAAATCTAAATAAACAGGCCAAAAAACAGAGAAAATAAAGAAGTTTTCAAAGAACTACCTGCTATCAAAGTACCATACTCTGGAAGATTCATAGAATGAATATTACCTTAAAGTTTTATACTTTTAGCTTTTATATTTAGCTCTGTGATCCATTTCCAGTTAATTTTTGAATACAATGTTGAAGGAAGAAACAAAGTTCATTATTAATTTTTTTCATTATCAATTTTAAGGATAACTTCTATACTATACAAACTTTTATATAACACAGGGGAAAATATCTTAAAATTCAATTTGTAAATTCTGTATACCACTGATGGAAAAAAATCGAATTTACTAAGAAACATACACTATATCTGATCTCATTTGTGAGCACCAAGGGAATATTTAGGAGTGGAACTGTTAGGCTATACAGTAAGTTTATAAGAAACCGACAAACTGCTTTCTACAGTGTACCGTTTTATACTCCGACTACAATTTGTAAGAGATACAGTTGCTCTAGCATCCTTGTCAATGTTTGGTATTGTTGATCTTCAAATTTTAGACATGTTAATGGGTGAGTAGAAATATTGCCTTGTGGTGTGAATTTTACTTTCCCTGCTCACTGATGTGTTTACTAGTTATTCATATACCTCCTTGGCTGGGGAAGTATTTATATCTTCTGTATACATCCTTAAGTGTGTATTTCAAATATCTTCTCCAAGTCTGTTGTTTGCCTTTCCAATTTCCTGATGTCTTTGGGGAGCAGAAATCTTCAATTTTCATTAAGTCCAATTTACCAATATTTTTCTTTTATACTTGACGCTTTTTGTATTCTGAAAAATCCTTGCTTACCTCAAAGTCACAAAGATATTCTCAAATATTTTCTACTGAAAGTTTTAGACTTTTAGCTTTTATATTTAGCTCCACGATCTATTTCCAGTTAATTTTTGCATACAATGTTGAAGGAAGAAACAAAGTTCATTATTTTCCCATACAAATATATGGCTGATCCAGCACCATTTGTTGGAAAGACTATCCTTTTAATAACTGAATTACCTCAGCATCTTTGTTGAAAATCAATTAACCATGTATGTACACTTCTATTTCTATTCTTTTCCACAGATCTCTATGCCCATCATTATAGTAAAACCATACTGTCCTAAATTATAGCTTTACTGTAAATTATAAAATCAAGTAGTGCAAATCCTTCAGCTTTGTTTTAAAAAAAATTACTTTGACTATTTTAAGTGCTTTCTATTTTTATAAGATTTTCGAATCAACTTGCCAATTTCTACAGAAAAGCTAGTGTCATTTTGATTGGACTGCTCTAGATTTAAACATAAAAGTAGAAAAAATTAACATCCCAACAATATTGAGTATTCAAATTCATGAACATGGCATTTCTCTCCATTAAGTCCTTTTAAATTTCTCTCAAAAACAACATGAAGTTTTCAGTGCACAGGTTCTGTACATATTTTGTCAAATTCATACACATATAGTTCATATTTTTTGATGCTACTGCAAATGACATTATTTTTTAAATTGCATTTATAGCCATTTGTTGCAAGTATACCAATACATATAATTGGTTTTGCATGCTTGTATCCTGTAACATTTACTAAAATTGTTTATTTATTCTTCTATCCTTTTTTGGTACATTCCTTAAGATTCTTTCTATGGACAATTACATTGACTAAAAACGTAAAGACAGTTTCACTTCTTTATTTCCAATCTTTATTCTTTTGTTTTCCTTTTTTTCTTTCCCTGCATTAGTACACTGGCTAGGATCTCCAGTACAATGTTACATAAAAGTGAGAGAGTGGACACCTTTGCCTAACTTGCGATCTTAGGGGAAAGCATATTGTCTTTCAATATTAAGTATGTGGGAGGTATTTTGTATTTTTTGCTTATTGTTGTTGTTTTGAAATTCTCTTTATCAAACTGAAGAAATCCCCTTTCTAATTTAGTGTGCTAACAGTTTTTATCATGGATGAATGTTAAATGTGATTAAATGCTTTTTCTCCAGCTACGGGGATGATCCTAAGATTTTTCTCTTTTATTATATTGGTATCTTAAACTACACTAACCAATTTCCAAATATAAAACCTACCATGTATCTCTATGATAAACTCCACTTAGTCATAATTTAATATACAATAAGCCTTCAATATTCACCAGCTCCATATCCACAGGTTCAACCAACAGTAGATGAAATATTTTAAAAATAATTTTAAAATAATACAGCAAGTAAAAAAATAAAAATTTTAAGATACAGCATAACCACTATTTCTACTGTATTAGGTATTCCAAGTAATCTAAAGATAATTTTAAATATATGAGAGAATATGTTTAAGTTATATGCAAATATTATACATTATTTTATACAAGGGACTTGGACATCTGTGGATTTTGGTATTCTCTGGGGTCCTGAAATTAATCCTCCATGGATACCAAGGGACAACTGTATTACTGAATAAGATTTACTAAAATTTGGTTAAATATTTTTATGTCTATGTTCATAAGGGATACTGCTCTACAGCTTCCTTTTCTTATAAATATCTTTGGTTTTGATAGTAGGGCTTTAGTGGTGTTCCTAAGAATACATCATCCTAAATGCACAAACACCTAACAAGAGTACCTCAAATTACATGAGGCAAAAAATGACAGAACTGAAAGAAGTCCAAAATAAGAGTTGAAGACTTCAACAACCCTCTCTCAGTAACTGACAGAACTAGACAGAAAATCAGCTAAGATAGAGATAGCCTGGACAACCCCATTAATCAATGGGATCTAACTGACATCAATAGAACATTCCACACAGTAACAGCAGAATATACAAATATCATTCTTTCTAAGCACAAATGGAAAATTCACCAAGACAAACCTGTGTCAGAAAGCAAGTCAAAAACAATTTAAAATAATTAAAATTATGTGAAGTACATTCTCTAATCTTAATGGAATTAAAACGAGAAATCAACAACAGGATTTTTTAAAACTCTAAATACTTAAACTTACTCAAGGAAAATTTTAAAACACTGAATTGAATGAAAATGGAAATATATCAAAACCTCGGGAATGCAGCTAAAGCAGCAGTTAGAAAGTTTCTAGTAATAAACACATTAGAAAAGAGGATCTCTGGTCAATAAACTAGGCTTCTACTTAAAAATATTAGAAAAACAAGAGCAAAATCACCCAAATCATGCAAAAGAAGAAAACAATAAAGAGTAGAAATTAATAAATGAAAACACGAAGAAAATATTACAAAGATCAATGAATCTAAAAGTTGGTTCTTTGAAAAGATCAATAAAATTAATAAACTTCTAGCAGGACAAGAAAAGAGACAAAACATAAATCACTATTATCAGAAATGAAAGGGGAGTATTACTACAGCTGCCACAGACATTCAAATGACAAGGCAATACCCAAACAATTTGATGCATATAAAATCAATAACTTAGATCAAACCGGACCAATTCCTCAAAAACCACAAATCACAAAAACTCACTCAAGAAGAAGTACATAAACTGAATGGTCCTTACTGTTAGAGAAATTAAGTTTGTAGTTTAAAAACCTTCAAGAAAAGAATATCCGAGATCCAAGTGGTTTCTTTTGCAAAATATAGTAAACATTTAAGAAAAAAATAAAACCAATTCTAAACAATCTCGTCCAGAACACTGAAAAGCAGAGAACACTTCCCAAATCATTTTATGAGTCCAGCATTACTCTGATACCAAAACAAGATGAATATAAGAAAAGTAAAGAACAATATCTCTCATTAATATAAAAGCAAAAATCTTCAAAATATGTGCAAATCAAATCGCAGTTAAGTCAGAAGTAACAAAAGGATTTTATTTACATATAAATATATTCACACACACCCCTGGAAAATAAAAAGCACCCTTCAAAAAGCATTGCAAAGTCAAAGAATACTCTTTTTCCAAATCAAAATAATTTCTTCTACATGCAAAAAGACCCATCCCTAACAAAACTTTCTATTCTCCAGAATATCTCAATAGAAAGAATTCATTCAGCATTTTTTTTTTTTTTTTTTTTTAAAGAGAAAAGGTTTTGCTATGTTACCCAGGTTGGGGCACAGTGGCTATTCACAGGTATCATGATCATGGCGCCTTGTGGCCTTGGACTCCTGGCCCCGTGCGATCCTCCTGTCTCAAACTCCTGAGGTTGGGACTATGTGCCACTGTACCCAGCCATTCTAACCATTAATCACTGTTAGAATAATTAGTATCAGTGCTAACTTACATCCAGCAACATTTCTCTCTCCCTTCTCCTGGCTCCAGAGCCAGGGCCTCACTAAGAAAAATAAGAACATATCCCCATTCTCCTAAGTACAGCATTTTGGTTCAACAACTGGCACAAAACCCAATCAGGACAAAAAGAAATAATGAGTCTTTCAATTCTATTTCTAAAACAACCAAGAGCTCTCTTCTCTACAATGTTCTCTTTCCTACAGATGAGGTAGTATGAAGACATGAAGCTTCAAACTGCTGCAGCCATCCTGCTAAGAAACCAACTTGATGATAAAAACTACACAGGAAAACAGAAGAGATAAAGTAAAAAACAGCTCAGGTAGAATCAGATATACATCAGGAATTCATTCGGCTGATTAAGTTTCCTTTTTCATTTAAGCCGTTTTCCAATAGATTTTCTGTTATCTGCACATAAAGAGGACTCTGATGCTAAGAACTAATTGGACAGAAGTCAGAAGAGCCACTATCTCAGTTACCTATATAAAAGAATTGTTTAATTATCAAGGCTAACAAAACGGGGAAAGTTTTAAGTTAATGTTTTCCCTAAAATCTAGACTACTACAAGCAAAGGTTCAATATCCACTTATATGTAACTACAGTAATAGAGGCTCTAAGATTCTGATTCTGTAAAGGTATACTAAATTTGAGATGTCAAATGAGACATTGAGAACTAATTACTATCGTTTTCTTAGACTTTATTTTTTAAAAAAAGAAAACATAAAAAAAATAGTTTTTTAAAAAAAACTCAAATTGTACTTACTGGCAAGAATTTGAGATACACAAAAGGAACAGAGTAGGAAACAAAGTATTAAACTATAAAAAATAATCCTTTAACAAACTAACTGTATAGCTACAAACATAAGACAAAACATAATTATGGATCTTATTCCTACTTAGGTTATCTGGCTGGAAAAGAAACTGTAAACACTTAAAAATTTAATAAAAAATAATAAGCACCTAAATTTTGAGTATTGAAAATTCTGCAGATTCTTACTTTTTCTACCATTTCACTATAATTTTCTTCTCACAATAGATGTTTCCCAAACATCTAAATTAATTTTCTTCTACCTTCAAAGTTTACTAAAGCAGCAGTATTTATTTGATAAACAGACAGGACCAGTATCTATTTGATAAATATTAATACATAAGATGTTCTGAGAAATATCATTTGAAAAAAGTAAAAAATTAAAATCCAATTCTTATTTTCAATACATTTGTATACTCCAATTTTTTTTTTAAAGGCTCACAATTTACCACTGAGTTTAACATAAAGGAATAGTTACTTGAAGGGAGGATCTAATGACTACTAAGCATAATGTCTTTAGTGCACTAATGCCTCATATTGTGACAACAAAGCAGTAAGAACTTTCCAGTCTGAAACACCGCTAAGAAAATACACTTTATTTCATTACATGATAGCTGATAAGTTAAATAACATATTATGAAGTCTCTGGTACTCACTGATTACTAAAGGAAAATTTTTTCCTTTACTCCTTTACCACATCTCCCAAACCCAACAGAAATTATTTTTTAAGACATTTTCTTTTTTGACCAAAAAAAGCAACAATGAACAAATTATAAGGGAAATCACAGTATTGGAAAAATCCTTCTCTAGTGTCAAAAAGAAAATTGCTGTTATTTGAATTACTGTGATTGTTTACTATAGGTGATAAAGAAAATCGGATTGTATATAACTAGTTTGTTTCTTTTTAGCCCATTAAAATTTTCTTGCCTTCATCTATCATTACTTAAAAGATACTCATCAAGTCACATTAAGAAGCATTTAAAATGGGGGTGGGACTGAAGACTACAAAGAGCAGCTTAACAATTCTCACGGCTTATCTTTGGGTTTAGTAAACACTGTTAGTTAAATCAGTACTTACTCCTTGAGTAAGTTAAACTGGGAAGTTTTATAAGTGAAGGGAGCTGAAAGAAGGTACAATGAACAAACTCAAGATGAACACAGCTCTTCCCCAAACCTCCATTCACAGAACACATTGTTAATTTTTCCTTAAGAGCTGTGCATGTACAACATAACCCACTGAACTCAGTCACCCAATTACTCCTTGAGTAAGTTAAACTGGGAAGTTTTATAAGTGAACTGAGCTGAAAGAAGGTAGAACGAACAAACTCAAGATGAACACAGCTCTTCCCCAAACCTCCATTCACAAAACACATTGCTAAATTTTCCTTAAGAGCTGTGCATGAACAACATAACCCACTGAACCCAGTCACCCAATTACCCTGGGTATGTCACTTTTTAAAAAAAAATGTACACAGGACTACAAGAATTGCCTATCCTTCCCCTCTTCCTCTGTAACGTGAATATCAGAATAAGTATTCTGTTGAAGAAAAAAATGACAATAGGTGCTTACCTTTCCTGACACTAAAGGAAAAAAATGCCGAAAAAAGCTTCAAAATACTCAGATAAATGACTAAAGCATCCATATGCAAATAGAAAATCTACCACATATATGTGTACTCCAAAGCAACTGGAACTTAATGGTGACTGACACTTGCAAAATTCATACATGTTTCTTCAAACGGTAGTTCCACAGAAATACTCAGATTTTTAAAAGTACTTTAAAAAGTTACATCTTGTTTTAAAAGATGGAGGTAGAAAACGGAAACAGTAATTAGAAAAAGTAAACTTACCAAATATGTTAGTGGAGTGTCCTTTCCTTGCAATAGGTCTGAGTTCATTATGTCCCCACCCATACGTCCTATAGTTATCCCAGGCATGTTTCATCATCTGAAAAGAGAAAAATTATAAGCCATGAATTTAAATTTTTCACAGACTGTTACTTTTACTTCACATAATTTTGGGTTCTACTACTATATCCTTGCCCATTCTTCTAGATCTACATTAGTATATTATCCAATTAACATTTGTATCAGCAAGAAAACACACCTAACTATGTTTAATCTCATCTATATGACAGGAAAAAACATGGGTATAATAGACAAGTCCTTTTTCTTCAGGAGGTACATATCTGTAGCTGTCAACCCCTGCCCTAGACAGAGTGACTGGATACATGTGATTCAAATAGGAACAATTAAGTCCTTTTTACACATACTGTTATAGACACCAGGAGATAGAGGGACTTTTTTATTCTACAATCTCATGGTCTATGTAATATATAATTCTGGAGCTGATAATGGCTCTCTCGCAACATGGAGAAACTAGCAAAAGGAAAGCGACGGAGTCACATGCCCAATACTGACAGTAATATCTACAGACTTGGATTCGGCCAAACTTGAAGCCCTTATTTAGAGCCATCAAACCAATAAATACTTTTTGTATCACTTAGTTTGAGCTGAGTGTGTTGCAACCCAAGGACTTTTGAGATATACAATAGCAGAGTATTTAACTGTGTAACAGATGAATTATATAATAGTAGACTGTGGTGTAACAAAAGATTATTCATTTAACAGCATACTATTTATTAAAAATTTCCCAATTTGCTTTATGTAGCCAGCATTAATCAGACACTAAAGTCAAGCAAAGATACTGTATTACAAGAAAACTCAAGACCAATGTATCTCAAGAACACAGATGCAAAATTCCTTAATAAAAATTAACAACATCTAAGGAGGATACTACATCATGACAAAGTGGAGTTAATTCAACCCAGGAATATAAGATTAATCTAACATCCAAAAACCAATGTAATTTACCATTTTAACAGAATAATGAGGAAAAAATCATAGTCATCTAGGGAAAAATGAAGACAAAGCATCTGACAAAATTCAACACTCATTCATGATAAAACTCTCAGTAAACTACAAATACAAAGAGACATTCTCAACCTAATAAACAGCATCTTTAAAAAACCTACAGTTGACACATCATAGTTAATGGCAAAAGACTAATGCTTAACCCCTAAAGCTGGGAACAAACTTGGTATGTCCATTCTCCCCACTTATTTTCAATAATGTACTAGAACTCCTAGCCACTGCAGTACAACAAGAAAAAATAAATAAAAGGTATAAAAATCAAGAAGGAAAAAGGAAAAGTAACTCTTCACAGAAGACATGACTATGTATAAGAAAAATTACAAGCAATCTACAAAAAAAAGCTGTAACAATTAATAAATGACTTCAGTAAAATAGGACAAAAGTTCGCCAAACTAAAACATATTTCCACGTGCTGAGTTTCATGAGTACTTCTGGTGAATCACTGAACCTGAGGATCATCTGGGGGTCCCCTAAACACACATGGTTATCTATCTGAATTATTATGTTTATTTGAAAAAAAGTATTTCAGTAACTTGTAATGACCTCTGAAAAAATGCAAGTCAGGTATCTGAAAAAAAAAATCTATCACTATCTCTCCCAACACTGCCCAAAGGAAGTGCTATAAGCAGTCTACATATTAAAAAGACTCCAGAGGTGAGGTAAAATCAGAACACAGCTCTATTTCTACTCTATCAAGGTCAAGGTTTTATAATAATTCGTAACGCTAAGCTTAAAATATCTGCTATACCTTCCATACCCATTACTAGAATATATCCAAATAGATATTTGACTATTTGAACTAAATTTCTCTTAGTAACAATTAAACCTTCTAAAATACTGCTGGTGCAATTACACTCTGATAAAAATATTTTTCTTCACAGATAGTAAAATCACAAACTCCACCCAGAATTTTCAGGAGTTCTAATTAACAAAGTTTAATTCAAATATGCACTAGATTTTTCCTATCTGGTATTCTCTTTACCTTTAAGTAATTATAGAACAATAAACTGAAAGACTTCCGAGGCTAAATAAAGAATTTTGAAATCAATTCTTTCCCATTCTTCAATCCATGGAGACTCTTTGGAAGAAATGTGCTCTTAATCTACAGTATAGTTGAGGGGTATCATGATATGTCCCTTAAAAAATTGGAGATACAATGCTAACCCTTTAGAAGCATGTTTATGAGGGGATCTGCATAGTATCTGGCAGAGTCCCTTTTAACTGAACATTTAAGAAACTGCTTAGGTCAACGTTAAGTTATATACAGATATATTATTTATAAAATGCTGAATTTCAAAAGATCTCTTAACAAAGAATGAGTGGCACTAATCCAAATGTTATATAAAAAGCTTATAAGTGTCCAATAATTATATTATAATCAACATTTTTTTTTAAAAAAAGAGTTGTACTCCTTATGAAAGGACCAACCTGAAAACTATACCACAACTATGACTCAAGAACAAAAAGATCAAAACATGACACCATAGACTAAGATCTGTTTATATTCAGTCAAATACAAATTAATAAACACTCCATATCACAAAACTCAGCTTATTACCTCTTTAATTTTTTCCCTTTTCTCTCTTATGTCATTATCTTCTGGGTCTCCACCACTTATTCCTACAAGGTTGGGAATAGGGACTGGTGGCAGTGGCTTGTTCTCTTTTATCTTCATTTCTTGGACTACCTTATTTTTCTCTGTCTGAATTTCTGCTCGAATTTCCTCTCTTGACTTCCTTAATTTTTCTTTTGCCTCTTCCAAGGCCTTCTCATGATCAGCTCGAATTTTATTTCTCAGACGTTCTTCTTCTTCCCTGTGAGAAAAGGAGGAAATAAAACATAAGAGTGAGCCTACTTAAGAATGTCAACCTTTAAACATAAAACATAAAGTTTTCTCCATTAAGCCCAGGGACTTGTTTTCTACTTTTGCCATTAAAAGGGGAGAGAGATTCCGATCAGGTATGAGAAAGAAAATGAACCCTGGATGCCTGAGATCAAACTCTCTTTATAATCTCTTTATAAGATTTCCAGACTAAGAGCAGAGAAAACAGTAACTTATCCATAGACAGCTGCAAAAAATAGACACCAGTGAAAACTAAATGGAGGAGAGAAAATAAAAATAGAGTAAGTATCAGAAAAGAGACAAAAATATAAACATAGGGCCAAAGAAAAAGAGGAAAAGATAAGAGAACAGAAAGTTTTTCATTTATATAGTGCACCATATGCTTCTGAAACCTTTAAATTTTCAAAAGTACATAGATATCATAACGTAATATGCCCAACGGATATGGGTATAATTACTTTAAACTCTCTTGAACCCTTGTTAAAAACAGATTCCAATTTAGTAGATCTATATGTAACCCATGAATCTGTACCATGAGGGGCTCCTCAGATGATTCTGGTGTACACACAGATTTGGAAATCACTACTGCAGTGGACACCTACTCAGTTTTCTACCTAGTCCTACTTTTATGAAAGAGAGTTCAATATTCCCTCTATAGTCACCCTAACCCACAGGAATGAATACAAGAGTGGTACTTACTGTAAATCATTCTTTTCCAAATCAACCAACCAACAATATCTACTCTAAGGGTAAACACCTAACCCAACAGTCACTACAGTCACCTCTCCAGAAATTTAATTCAGACTCTGCACATGGCTGAAATTATAACATTGCTAGTGAGAATGTAAAATGGTGTAAATTTTTCCACTTTGGAAAAGTTTGTGTTTTAAAAAAAAAAAAAAACTAGATTATTTAACTATCATAGAATCCTGCAAATGCACTTTGGGGCATTTATCTCAGAGAAATAAAAACTTATGTTCATTAAAAAAAAAAAAAAAAACTATATACAAGCTGGTCACAAAAGACAAATACTGTATGATTCCACTTGTAGAAGGTACTTAAAGAAGGCAAAATCCTACAGACAAAAAATAGAATGGCAGTAGCCAGCCAGCCAGAAACAGGACAATGAGAAGTTATTGTTTAGTGGGTACTGAGTTTCAGGTCTGCAAGATGAAAATAGTTCTGGAAATGGATGCAGTTATGACTGTATAATAATATGAATGTATTTAATAGTATTAAACTGTATAAAATGGTTAAGATGGTAAATATTAATTGTATTTTACCATAATAAAAATAAACTGAAGGAAAAGGACTATATACTACATTTATAGAAGCTTAATCCATAAAAGGCAAAAACTGAAAACAATCCAGATATCCTCCAACAAGTAAATGGCTAAACAAAACCGTGGTATATCCACACTATGGAATACTACTCAGCAATAAAAAGGAGTGAATTATTTATAAACACTCCTTGAATGAATCTCAAAGACATTCTTATTTGAGTGAAAGAAGCCAGTTTCAAAAGATTACACACCGTATGATTCCATTTATATGACATTCTCAAAAAACATAAAAAAGAGGGATGGTGAATAGATTAGTGGTAGCCAGGAGTTATGAATGGGGGAGGAGTTAACTATAAAGGAATAACACAAGGGAGTTTTTTTGATGATAGAATTGTTACATATTTAATTACGATGGTGGTTACACGAATGGTGCATGTGTTAAATCATAAACGTATACGCCAAAAGAAAAATTTACAACCTAATATTATCTAGTATTAACAATTAGATGTTAAACATTAGAGAAAAAAAACTGGATTATTAGCACTGAGAAGGTGCTGATAAGGGAAATGAGAGAGAAAGGGAGAGGGAGGTACAGCAGGCTAGACAGTCAGTAATATGCAAGGTCATTCAGCAAGGAGGAAGAATCCATGGGGCCTACAGACAGACTGGATGAATGTCGGAGGAATAGGGCGGAGAGCTAAGGTTGGCCCCTGAATGAATCCAAGAGGAACTGACATGAGGCCCGATCTGTTCAGGAGACTCAGGCAGACAAGGGCATCATCAGC